GTATACACCTTTAATTGATGTGTTCATATGGCCTTAAGCTTGGTAGTGAGGAGTGAGATGTTTTTGTTCAAGTAAACTTAGATTTAAGCATTTTTTAATAGTAGTTTTTCACTTTTTACTTACTTATATCATTGTACATTGTCTGCTTAATTGTTGTGAGCATATTGTTGGTGTGTCTTTTATAAATAAATAAATAAATAGTATAGATATTAGACGTAACACAATAATAACGTACACAGGCGGTCTTACCGCTTACCATAAAGGAATTGGTACCAATCATAATTCATTTTTATATGAAATTATTAGGAGTACAAATAAGTTTCCGCCGTTTTTTAACACAAATTAAATATTTATTATAGAAGAACGGTAATATAGATTTATATAAAATATTGCCCATCACTTGCAACCACTTTTTCCCATCTCTCAGGCAGCATTCGAATTCCACGTCTGAAGAACTCCTTGTCTTTTGAGGCTATCCACGAATCAACCCAATTTTTGGTATCCTCATAAGATGTAAACCGCTGCGTCGTCAGAGCATGTGCCATGGACCGAAACAGGTGATAATCGGACGGTGCAATGTCTGGTGAATACGGCGGGTGGGGTAACACTTCCCAATCAAGTGTTTCCAAGTACTTTTTTACGGGAGCCGCAACATGTGGACGAGCATTGTCATGCAGAAGAATAATTTTTTCGTGTCTAGAATAGTATTGAGGGCGTTTTTCTTTCAGAGCTCGGCTCAATCTCATCAATTGTGTTCGATAGAGGGCTCCAGTAATTGTTTCGCTCGGATTAAGCAACTCATAATACACTACACCTAGCTGATCCCACCAAATACACAGCATAAGTTTTTTTCCGTGAATATTCGGTTTTGCTGTTGATGTTGACGCGTGGCCAGGTAATCCCCATGATTTTTTTCTTTTTGGATTGTCATAATGTATCCACTTCTCATCACCAGTTACGATACGATGTAAAAAACCCTTTTTTTTATGTCTAGCTAGCAGCATTTCACTTAAGCATAATCGGCGTTCAATATCTCTCGGCTTTAATTCGTACGGAACCCAATTTCCTTGTTTATGAATCATTCCTAATGATTTTAAACGATGTGAGACTGCTTGCTGAGTGACTTCTAATGTTAGAGCAAGTTCTTTTTGTGTTTGAGATGAATCCTCCTCCAATAATTCCTCCAATTCTGCATCCTCGTAAATTTTTGGCCTTCCACTGCGATCTTTGTCTTCTACGTCGAAATCACCGTTTTTAAACTTTTGAAACCACTCTCGACACGTTCTCTCACTCAAAGCACCCTCACCATATGCTTCTACGAGCAATTGATGCGCCTTAGCAGCAGATTTCTTTAAATTAAAGAAGTAAATTAATATTTCCCGCAAATGACGCTTATTTGGCTCAAATTTTGACATTTTCAAGTTATAAAAATTATATTTTACCAATATCAAATCAATAATATTAATAGGTTATGTTGGTCTTGAATGTCGAAACTATTTTTTAAGCCGGTTATCATCTGCGAAAGCTAACCGAAACTCCGTGCCGCGCCATCCACAATAAAACGGCGGAAACTTATTTGTACTCCTAATAATTTGACATTAAATTCTAGAAAGCTATCACAGAGGCAAGGGCTGTGTTATTACGACTATATTGTTTATACTGGCGGACACGTGCCGGTAATAATATAGATGTATAGAAACTGGATACGGCCTGAGAGGCAAGCTATTTTCAGCCTACTTGAGAAAGATAGATGTTCCCAATTCCTTTGTACTGTATTTCTTTTATGTTTGTTCCCTCATAACTCCGTCAGTTATAAACCGATTTGGAAAATTCTTTTTTTATCTGAAAGGACATACTTACAGGTCAGTCGTCTCGTAGAAATTTTATCAAAATCGGTTTAGTAGTTTAGTTTTTAGATTAACGTCACTGATTTTATTACAATTGAACTCGGTTTTTTTTTTGTGGAACACAAATTTAAATATTTTTCTCTTTGGATAATTTTTTTTTAATATTTGTACGTATTTAATAATGTTTGTGTTAGTCATTACCCGATAATGACAATATCCTAACCTAGACAGTGACATTCTATTGTTATTCTACATAATTTTAATCACCGTAACAGGGGGGAAAGGGATTGTTAGTAATGGAGACTGAGAATGCCATTGCTAGCAATATACCCAACCAGGTCGACCTCCTCGCGGTTCTCCCTGGAAACTATCATGGTTAATTCCTGATGAATTCATCATGATGGGCTAACTGGCCTGTTTTCATTCTCATCTATCACCCTTCACTGGTGCTCCGCCAGCGTATCCCGTTAGCGCAGGCGGGGTTACCATACCATTTACACCCATCAAAAAAATCACCGTAACATCTTTTTATAAATACAGTGAACGTTCTATATAAGCAACCTCTCTATAAGCAACATTCTTTATATTTTATTTATTCTACTCAGCTTAGTTAGCAAAAGAAATAAGTAAAAATATTTTCCAGACGGTAAGTATTTTTATACTCCCTTTTTCACCTATAAGCAACTTTTCCCAATAAGATTTTTTTTATTGGAAGTGATTCAAATGAGTTGCTTATATAGAGCGTTCACTGTATTAACGTCTGTATGCACATATAGATATATTATTCCGTTGGAGTACGCAAAAACAATAGGATGCTAAAAATATATTCAATTAAAACAAACCTCTTTCGTCTTCCGTGGAATTACAATCTATTTTTACAATCTCGCCGTTTTCGAGGACCTTTTAATCGGATCTTCTTCGGAAAGTTTATTTTCAAATTCAAATTTAGAATGGATGCTTTTTAAATTTGTATTTGGATATACTAATAACTATACGTGTGATGGGTAGCAAAAATGAATAATAAAATGAGACAGAGAAAGAGAAGATCAGTAAAAGAGAATTTCTCATTTTTGATATACTAGAAAATGTTTGATATTATGTATATATATATATATATATATATATATATATATATATATATATATATATATATATATATATATATATATATATATATTGATATATCACGTTCGTATAAAAGCACGTACGTGATAAAATTAATCAAATTTAAAAAAAAAAATTATGGTCCTAGCACAGAATGGGCCACCCCTTCTTTTCCCGTGGGGGGTGCCGTGATAAGCGACTTAAAGAACTTAATGGTCAAGAAATGGGCAGCAGAATACCTCTTAAAACAACACAAAGCCTAACTGCAGTTGCCAATCCGTCGGCCAAGCGTGACAACTACTAGCAACCCCATTCCCCCCTCCCCAATAAAAGGAGACCCGTATTCAACAATGAATAGTTGACAGGTGATATGATGATGATGATATGGTGAATAAAATTTAAAATAAATCAATATTAAAGGTAAGATACAAAAAAACATTACAACGATTATATTATAGAAATTGAGTAAAAATTATGACTATTATATTTTTTTTTACTAAACGAAGTGTTATCACACTTCTTTACTTTAGTAAAAAAGTTTTTTTTTTTAATTATAACGCTGAAGTTTTTTTTTTCTTATTCTTTGATCGTACCAAATTTGTAGTTTTTTTTGTTATAAATTTTACTAAATTATTAATTTAATTATAAATTTTATTTATTTCTTAATTCCAAAACTACGCTCTCCTATTGTTAAAAGTACAAAGACATACAATTCCTCATTTTTCAGGTAGAATCGACTATTAAAATGATCTACCCTTTACAAAAGTCTCCCCACATATCAATTCTCGTTCATATTAGTTCATAAATATTAAATTTACAACTGCAAGGCGTCGTTTCCATCGCGAACCGGAGGCGGCTCTTCCATTGGTTTTATTTTATGGCTAGAAAGTTTGCGGCCGCGTGGGAAAACTAGTTGTTACAAGCGTAACCTTGTTAGAGCGCACGCCACGAGCCAATCGGTCAAAGCTGTGTTTAAACTAACGCAAAGTATGTTCAATAGACAATTAATTATCAATCTATACCTATAACAGACGTGTAGGTCCCAGCAGGGTCGAATTGTTATTAATGAAATTTGACAGCACCATTGCTAGCAATATACCGTAACAGGTCGGGGGAAAGGGATTGTTAGTAATGGGGAGTTTAGTTCCCATTGTCATATAATATGCCCTATTCGTATACCAAATTTAATTCCTCTAAGTCTTTTAAAAGTGACAGAATAAAAACATCCAATTTATTTATTTCTTATTGCATTCCACAATGTGATTGGTAGATGTTCATTTCAACTTTAATTATGGACCCTGTTGGGCACAGCAAATAGGAGAGAGCCTTTTAAAAATAGTTTATGATACAATATTTGTTACAATATTATCCAGTCATTGAAATTGTTTCACGATAAGTACATATTTTCTGTATTATTATTATTAATTATTTAAGTGTATATATATATATATATATATATATATATATATATATATAATGGCAAACAAACTAACAGTCCACCTGAAAGAAAGTGGTCATTCAGTCAAACCATATGAAAAAATACGAAATACATACAAGACAAGCATACACGTTGTAAATATTTTATTGTCTCGTGCATCAGTCTGATCGCAGCTTTACAATTCGAATCCGTCAAGGAAAATGATTTCGTCATTTTACCTCCATCATTGTTAGTAAGGAGGTATCTATGTAAATTGGCAGAGTTGTGAATAAACACCAATACGGTGTCAGTGTAGCAATGCATATAGAGTACTTATCAATTATCATATATAAACTATTAAAATGGTAAGTATATATTCATCATCATCATCATCATCATAAAGGCAGGTTTTATCAATAGTTGCCACGCTTGACAGGCAGGTTGGCAACAGCAGCTTGCTTTATTCTTTCTTTCTTTTTAACCGCAAAATTGTATGAAAAAGTTGCCCCGCTTTTTACGAATCATTTCTATGGAGACACTCCGTGTAAGTATATAATCTAAGAACGTATGCTTACGTGACTTTTAACAATAAAATTTATAAAAAATAAGAAGTAAGGATTATAGATACTTACCGAAAAATAATTGCTCCTACAGGTTATGTTACGTGTAGATACCTGAAAAAAGAAACAATATAATAAATCTCTTATTTAAAAGTTTCCTCTTGTCGGTCCACCAGAGTGAGACTTTGTACAAAAGTCAATTGCTTGGGTCCTTCTGTCCCATTCGTGTTTCAACCGTGAAGCAGTTGTGTTTGCAGGGCTGTGTTTCGGTTTGAAGGGTGGGATATGGCGTGAATTTACTGGATACAGAGGAATAACATCTGAGTCCTCAGGAATGGCAACGCATGGGGGGTATCATGGGCGAAACAGTATACTCTGGTATGTCCATGGTACTGCTCATGTCTATAGGCGACGGTTACCACTTTCCATCAGGTGGGCCGACAGCTTGTTTGCCATTCTAAATTGTATAAAAAAAAAACTAATTTATATATTCTCTTCCAGCCAGCTCTATCCCAGGCCATATCTTTGACCTCCCTACACGACATGACACCTAATGTTTCCTTTAATAATAATACAAGTTGGTTACTCTGAGTCATAGATTACTATGTGCTCTTCTATTGCAGTTGTTTTATTTAATTGTTTTATATTTTATGTATTTATTTATGTATATATATTAATTTATTTATTTAATATATTATGTGTATGTTTATATGTATTTATCAAGTATTGCTTTATTTTTCCTCTATTCAATAATGCACCGCCTACTTATTTCTTTGTTCGCCCAATGGTCGACTGGTAGAGAACACCGTCCGGTGTTAAGTCCACCAAATGCACATAGAATTTTACTGTGCATTAAAGTTGAAATAAATGTGTAAATAAAATAAATAAGTGAGTAACGCAGAGACCGTGATATAAGTAGTACACCTGAGTCCACAGGAATGGCAACGCATGGAGGGTATCATGGGCGAAATAGTACACTCTGTTATGTCCATAGCACTGCTCATGTCTATAGGTGACGGTTACCACTTTCCATCAGGTGGGCCGTCAGCTTGTTTGCCATTTTATGTTGCTTAAAAAAAGTGTTGCACGTGGTTCAAACCCATGCAATACTTTTTTGTACCGTTTGTTTCCAATTTTGATTTTGATATATCGAAACATTGACCTTTGAATAGAGATTTTAGATTTATTAAATCAAATCGAATTCTGAATCGATTTATCTCAAACAAATTGAGCGTGCAAAAGTCGAAAACAGTTAAAGTCAAAAACGGACAGGTCGAGTATTTTTATTTAACGTCAACTTTATACAACTGTCTTGGTCTCCTTGCTTCCTCAGAAAACTTTCTCTTTTCCAGCATAAATTTCCTTTTTTCCAAACGTCAACATACACATAAATTGCGGAATCATATTACTTGAGATTGATCTTTCTAACGTCGATTCTGTCATGACTCGATCACAAATCCGCTATTCGAATCGATCTTATAAACGTCAATTCACTCTTGGATCGATTTGAAACGATTCTAAACGATGGAGACCCTAAGAAACACTTTCAATACCTATGCAGGACAGTGGTCCGGAACTCGTGGCAAGGTGAACGCTAGGCCAGTCTAATTAGGCCGGATCACACTATAGTACCGCTCTCGCTCCACACTCGGCATGCTCAATAAAAACAAACAGAACTGTGTTAAATGTTGGCACTGGGGGGGAAAGGGATAGTTAGCAATAGAGTTTGATAGCCCCATTGCTAGCAATATACCCTATCAGGTCGATCTTCTCGCAGTTCTCCCTGGAAACTATCGTGATTAATTTATTGTTAAATTTGTCACGATGGGCTAACTGACCTGCTTCATCCTCACCTATCATCTCTCATTGGTGACCCGCCAGTGTATTAAAAAAACCACCCATTAAAAAAAATGTTGGCACTTACAATTGAAAAGTACCTAATAAATAAAACGTACTTCGTCAAATGATTTTTTTTTGTAAGATGAGTAGCTAATATGTGTTAATACATTTTATTCATTAATAAAAATAAATAATAACATGTAATTTCAACTGTCACCGAAAGTGGATGGTTCTGTAAATTGCGGTGCACCTACGTGCGGGGTGTCACGTGTCTTATATTATAACTAATTTGTACCACGTGGCATGTGAATAAATATAAATAAATGAACTAACTAAATGTAACAATAATTATCTATTAATATATTTAAAATAACTACTTAAACTTATTTAATTAATGAATTTATACTTTACAAATGTAAGCCACAAAATTTGAATAGTTTTAGACATGTGTACTTCTATTATCATTCAAGACCATTTGTACAAACCGCATTTCCAGCAAATAAATAAAAAAAAAAAAAACAGGATTGTAATGTGTATACATTGACTGGGGCCGATTCTGCATGTCATTTCTCTAAATTTATCATCTCTTAATATTTAAATTTGATAATTTCACGAAATTACTGTTGAGTTTATAGAACATCAATCATCATCATAAAATTCATTTTAAAGTTAAGAATTGGCATCTCAGAATTGACTATATTAATTCTTTTATAATAATATTTTACAAGATTGAGAGCGGAGCGAGATTGAATCGAGATCGACACTATAATGTGCATCCGGCCTTAGTATACCGTACTACGTATATGTCTAGTATATGTACGTATGAGCGCCTAATGTCTAGTCCACCTGCCATTTGTATGGGTTGTTCATACGCTAAATATATACCTGGTTGACCTAGCTTTGCTCGAGCGAATTTCCTATTAAATCTCTATGTTGCTGTTTTAACTGACTTAATGTGTGTTTATTTTTTTTTATGCAATTTAGAATGGCAAACAAGCTGACGGCCCACCTGATGGAAAGTGGTAACCGTCGCCTATAGACATGAGCAGTACCATGGACATAACAGAGTATACTGTTTCGCTCATGATATTGCGTGCATATGCGTTGCCATTTGTTTTTTTTTTTTTACATATTATCGATACCAAATGTAATAATTATTTTAGTAAGTTTTCAATAATAAAGAAGATGCACAGTGATGCATATTGCATCACTCTTCTATCGTATTTATCATGGGGAGCATGCCGTACCAAACCAAATTGATCGTGTTCTGAAGAATTGTTCGGATTGATATTTGCTGCTGATTTTCACCACGGTACAACCCGTCATAAACTGAAATTTCATCCCAACCATCTGGACGAGTGACGGTCCTCAACCATGCGTTTTTCAAAGCACTTTCTTTCACACACGACCACTCTTTGGAATCAACTTCCAGCAGCTGTGTTTCTGAACTGATACGACATGATAAGTTTTAAGAGAAGAGCATATTCCTTTTTCAAAAGGCCTTGTAGTGTTACGGGTGATCATGGGCTGCGGTAGTCAGTTACCATCAGGTGAGCCACATGCTCGTTTACCTCCTGTGTTATAAATTAAAAATGTAACACCTATTATTTTTCTATTTTTGTTTTTTAACACGTTGAGCGCCACGCGTATTTCTACAGCAATCCCGTTCAGGTCACGCTCGCCGCTTCGAAGCGCTGGTACTGCAGGAGCTGGTGTTTCCTATCGTAGCAGAAGGTAGTTTACGTTTGGAACGTAATTCCTATAAATTTTAAATAAATTTTCTGTAATTCCTAAAAATAGTGTAAAATTTTATAGTTCTCATGTTACACGCTGTCAGACACCGATGGCTGACGCGGCCTAAACGGAAAGTCTAGTGTCAGCCACCAATGGCTGACATGGCGCTCAACGTGTTAACTAGTTTTTTTTTCTCAACCAATTTACAAGTTCTATCAAACATTCAAGGGTTGGCTGGAAGAAATCCCTTTTAAGGGATATTTTAAGTGCATCCATTATTTAAAAAAAAATCTAATCATTCCTATATATAGTTATTATATATTATATAGTACAATATATGTTTGTTTAGATGATTCATAATTATTCAATAGAATGTTGCAACTGTTGAAGGGCGCAATAATATTACGCATCACATTTGCAGAAGGTCATGGATTCGATACTCAGTCGAGTTATTTGTTTAGCCATTTTACTAACACCATATTGTGTCAACTATATATATTTTTTTTAATGGATGATAATGTAATGGTATCCCCACCCGCGCTATCGGTATACACCGGCGGGGCGCCAGTGAAGGATGATAGGTGAGTATGAAGCAGGTCAGTTAGCCCATCGTGACGAATTCAACAATAAATTAATCACGATAGTTTCCAGGAGGACCTACGATGAGATCGACCTGATAGGGTTTATTGCTAGCAATGGGGATGCTAGGCCCCATTACTAACAATCCCTTCTCATCCCAGGCAGGCAGAGTTACCAATCCATTTTCCAATCATTAAAAGAAATTCAAGGTCGTTGACCTATCTCTTACATAATTACTACGCGATAAGGAAAATATACGGAAACAACACTTCACTTCCAAGAATCTTCACTTTGAATAAACAAAAGTACAAATTATAATGAATAACCATGGTAATTCACAAGATACTTTTATCGTTTCTCTTAATTGATAATAAAGGCACAGCCAAAACAATTAAGTCTAGACAAACAGTGATTTGGTAAGAAGCGAATGATTTTAATTCGAAAATGATTTAAAAATATTTTTTTCAAAAATTTCTACTTAAGGGGAAACGTGACTTTTCTTTAGCCCTTCCCTCCACCCCTTATTATTTTTCTGTTACGCCTTGACCCGATACAATTTTAATTACACCATCCCATCTTAAAGTTGCCTGGAGGGGGAGAAGGGATTGTTAGCAATAGGGGAGGTTAGTCCCCATTGTTATCAACATATTTTATCAGGTCCACCTCCCCGCGGTTCTCCTGAAAACCATCATGACTAATTTATCGTTGAATTAGTCACGATTGGCTAACAGACCTGCCTTTTCATCCTCACCAATCATCCTTCACTGGTACCCCGCCAGTGTATACCGATAGCGCAGGCGGGGTTATCATTCCATTGTCACCCATTAAAAAAAAGGTTGCCTGGAAGAGATTGCTATTTTTGTTTAAGCAACTTAGAATGGCAAACAAGCTGATGGCCCACCTGATGGAAAATAGTAAACGTCGCCTATAGACATGGGCAGTACTATGGACATAACAGAGTA